GCGCACACACACACACACACACACACACACACACACACGCACACACACACACACACACACGCACACACGCACACACACACACACACACACACACAAAAAAAACATATGTTTTACCTGATAAAAGGATGATTATATCTTTTTGTAACAGATATGAATACTAGTATACATGTGTAATAAAAGCAGTAGCTGTGACAAAGGTGGTTACCACTGATCTTTGAAGAGGTCCTCACCCACTGTCATTTTCCTTCACAAAGAAAAAAAACATATGTTTTACTTGATTAAAGGATAATTATATATTTTTGTAGCAGATATGAATATTCATAAAAGCAGTAGATGTGAGAAAGTTCCTGCCCTGTTCTGGGAGGTATTTGGCATAATGTTAGCCTCCACTAGTCATTGAGGAGGTCCCCTCACCATTTTCCTTCACAAAGTAAAAAAAAAAATGTTTTACCTGATAAAGAGATAATTATATCTTTTTGTAACAGATATGAATATTCATAATATCAGTAGCTGTGAGAAAGTTCCTGCTGCCCAGTTCTGGGAGGTATTTGGCGTTAGCCTCCACTAGTCATTGAGGAGGTCCCCTCACCCACTGATATTCTCCATCACAAAAAAAACAACATATGTTTGCGGAAAGGACAATCATGTCACTTTCCTTGGGAGGTCGTATAGAGAGTCTATTTTGCATTCCAGTGCTGCATTTCTTTTTAATTCTTTTTTTTTTAACGGAGTGGTTCAATGCAAGGCCTATACGACCACTTCCCGGCATTGAACTAGAAATATGAGAGAAACATGGCTATGTCAAGAGATGGCGGTGAACGTTTGATTTGAAAGCCTGTAGATGTAGGTTGATAGGAAACACTTGTCAGGGAGGGAATTCCAAAGCTTGGCCGTATGGGGAAAGAAACTGTCACTGTAGAAAGATTTCGAACAAGGAATTTGGACCAACAAAGGATTGTGACAGAAGAAGTGGGTGCATTTTGTTTCTCTATAGCCCTGTGGTGTCAGGACCAGTTTAAATGCCTACATGACACACCATCAGTTATATAGGATGAGAAATTCTGCAAGTGTTGGTCACATCTTACAGTTTGGTGTTCAGGGTTAATCCTTATGTGTACTGGCCCAGAAGCAGGGTTATCCGGGTACCTGCCCTAGATAACCCCTATCATAACCTCTCACCTCTTTCTGGTCACACTTTAGCCTCCATAGCATGTCAAAAACTGGGGGTTTTGGGGGTCTTTAGGGTCTTTGGGAGCTTTTATGTGCTATTTTCTGATTGCATATATATTAGACAACATAGCCGGCCTGGTTGAATTACCCCCGTTTTTTAACTGGGCTAATCGGAAAACAGCCGAAGACTACCAAACCCCCTGTTCTGTAAGGAGGCTAGTCACACTTACAGGCTAGGGTGTATTGAAGGCCTGCACTTTGGCCCTAAGTTCCAAACAGAGGTTTTGGCCTCATCTTATTTTTTACGCGTTTTTAGGCATTTTTATCAGGCCTTCTGTTTTGTACTGGTATATTTTTTTCTATGGTAACTGCCTGGCAAATGGATACTGCCTGGCCTATTTGATACTGTCTTTGCATTCACCAAAAGATCTGCTTGGAGATTACCAAGTTTCCATCATTGAAACAGGACTTTTTGGGTATAAAAAAAAGATGCAGCATTTTGCTGACGAGTTGCTTCCAGTTTGCTACTTTGAAGTGTTTGATTCAGTTGATTTATTAATCTTTTGAGGTTTTTTTTTTGTCCCTGCAAGTTAATTGTTTGAGTCCCTGTTCATAGCATTTTTATAAACATCAGAATACTAAGTACTAGTATATTGCATGAAACACAGAAAGTAGATACAGTGTATGTTAACCCTTGTCCTGCTGGCATTCCTGGCACAATATTTTTCAATAATTTCTTCATAGACCCCAAAATTTTTTTGCCCTGCAGTGGCATAGTTACTTCCGCATTCGTTGCATTTCGCTGCGGTGTGATGCGTTGCATGAGAAATGCCCCCAAATCGTACCTACACAGGGTGCTATATAGATGGTACTGTATGTGCAGAACAACTTGTTGTGCTCCGCAGGACAAGGGTTTTAAAATCATTTAAAATGTGCTTGATCACTTGCAGGCCGATTCTCTGTAAAAGCAATGAGGTCAAATATATTCAAAAGAAGGTCATTTAGCTAATAGAGCTACTAATGGTCTGATAATAGACGTCCATGTCGTAAAAGAGGACCATACTTGTTGAAAGTCCTTCAAACATCCCCATGTGTCCTCCATTTTTCCATACAAAACCCTCCCATAAAACGGAGAGATAAAACAGTTGACTAGTTTTTATGGGAAGTTGTCAGGAAGTGGGGTAGAGGCTGGGTGGGCCAATTATGTCTAGGGGGTGTGATAATAGCCGCCATTAACACTACCCCCTCTATTCAGGTTCAAATATGGGGAGGGGCATGACTAATGTGTTGATCTTTCTTAATCCTTTGAGTATCTTTGCATAAGATAATTTATTGGCTTTTTGGGACTAAAGACTGGAGTCCAAACTTCAGGAATTTCAACACCTCACCTGTATCTTCTCTAAATAGCAACACCTGTGCGTTTACAAGGTCGTAAAAGCATCAGGAGTAACGAGTTTTGTGTACAAATGTCGTGTGTGTAAGAAGGTCGCTATTGTCAGGAGTCAGTGGCTGTTTTTAATCGCATCGGATGTTTTTTCAGAAACCGTTTAACTGTCCTGCCCTTCGGGTTGTAGCCGGATGTCTGCCGCATTACTGTGAATTATTGCCCATGCACTGGGATTAAAGAACATAATACCATGAGGGCCTGCATGGGGGGGTCCCGACAACGCTCTACGCTGAATTCGGAAACCTCTCGATTACGCTTTACGATAAATTCCAAGTGGCTACAACGCATTACGTAGAATTAAAACGCCGAATACGCTCTACGCGAAAATGTTAGAGCGGTCCGTCCACGCTCTACGTAGAATTAAAACGGCCGATTACGCTCTACGGAAAAGGGCTTGCGGGCCCCCTACCATGTTTTAGAGGCATCCAATGCAATTTCAGGGTGGCAAAACCCAATTTTCAAAGTCAATTTTCTGGTCATTCGTTTGATGTACTAAGTTACTAGTAGTTGAATCAATCCTATCCACTAGCATACTGATATCTGTGAGGCAAAAATGCCATCTTCAAGCAGATATTTGGTGAAAGATTGTGACATCTTCTAACTGAGGATATCACCCAACAAGAGAACCCATGCAGTCAGCAATTATCATCCATCCCAACATCTGCTTTGAGATTTGATAGTTGTATCCAGTCTTTGACTATGTGTATAGAAGTGTCCTACATGTGACAAGATACTGGTAAGACAAGCCAAAGCTTGTCATCAACTGTCTTTTTCCTGCTATCTGTGGTAGGAAATACCTTTCCGGTCAGCGACAGTACAGGCCCTCCGCAAGTGTGTTTCCAAATGCTGATGACAAGTGTCCGTACGCTCTGTATACTGGAGAGAAAGCCTCGCAAAGAGGGAAATTTTCTGGCACTGCCATAGCGTAGAGATAATCAGATGTCTGCATCTGAGGACACACTTGTTCACAAGTTCCGGGAATAGCGTACATTCCCTGGATTGTTGTCGTTTGATCCTAATTAACTTGCCATTAATTGCGGGAATGCTGATTGCTGGCTTTTGTCTCGGCATATTCGAAAAAACGCCTTGGCTTTTTTTGTGAGTACAAAAGTGTCATGATTAGAGGGTATTCATGTTGAAATCAGGATCTCGTGGGGGGAAATCTTCCCTACCCCGGAGAGTTGTACCCCCTACTGAGTCTTTGTAGGGCTGCTGTGTTGGTATGTTGCCCTCACAGGTATGCGTGCTAGAGGCATGTGGAGTGCATAGTCTCTACAAGGCTTCAGAAGTAGCTGGAAAGAGTAGAAATTGGGCAAACAGACAGACAACATACCGGGGGAGTTGGTCTGCAAAAGGAGTTAAATTTGCAGCTACTTTTGTGGAGGAACTACCCTGCCATGTTATCTGTCTATTTGCCCAATTTCTACTTTTTCCAGCCACTTCAAAAGCCTGGTAGAGGCTAGGGACACAGACAATCGCTGTCAGCTTGAATTCCATCCCTACAACAAGGGAACATAAAATGTGGTGCGAAAAAAAATTAGTACAAATAAGAGCTTGTGTGTGTTTTTTCTACTCGCGTAATTGGTGCCCCGGGCAGAACAATTATTCCAAGAGACTAAGCCTTCTCTTTCTATTAAGGACTTAATATATTTCTATCAAATATTCGGCTACCTGTAGGATTGATGCTAGATAACGCTATAATGATATAATGATGTTTGGTACATATTCATGCCCAAAGGCCTAAATGCACAGATGACCACACGTGGTCTATAATGGTTTCATCAAAACACGAAATCTCGAAACACTGAAATACAATGTAGATTGTTATACACTAGTGTGAATCTATTTGCCTAATAGTTTTCTCATTTTCAGACTCGTGACATACACATATTTGCCCATTATATATTTGTAAAATGTATATGTTGTCAAGTACATGTATCTGAAATTCGGAATGCATACTGTTTTGACTTTGGTTTACATCTATTTATAATACTTACTACAAATTACATGTACTTCCAATATTTCCAATACAAAATTCATCCAGTATTTCTGAAGTACAAATTGTTTGCTTTTCTATCTTTGAGATGATGGCATCCAAAGTCTATTTTGCTTCGATTGCATATTGATACACTGAGTGGAAGAAATGTTGCTGACTTTCTCCAATTCTATTTTGCTTAGATTGCATATTGATACATACATGTAGAGTGGAAGAAATTTTGCTGACTGTTTTCCAAAGTCTACTGTATTTTGCTTTAATAGATTGCATGTCGATACACTGAGTGGAAGAAATTTTGCTGACTTTTTCCAGTCTATTTTGCCTAGATTACATATTGATGCACTGAGTGGAAGAAACTGACTTGTCGTATCTGTTCCATACCATTAGGTGTGCAATGGGAACAGGTACCTCCGCATTCCGGCACGAGAAATGCAGCGTGCGTCGGACCGCAAACAGGCGCTCCTGCGGGAGGCTGGCACCTCCGGGAGAGCGGCGGCGGAATGCGGTCCCGGCCCTTCAGATGCAAATTCCGAGTCCTCGCATCTGAATGACAGGAATGGCGGGAAGATTCTCGGGCAGAGCGGCATTCCAGGAGAGGGTGGGGCTACTAATCCCGACACTGCTGATGTGACGCCCCCAGTGAGCAGGAACAAGGGAGGACAAGATAACGGCTCATCCTTCCCGCCCTCCGCAGCACAAGGGTATCAGGGTCTACCGAGCACCAAAGAGACAGACCTTGTCTCCAAGAGAATCGTCAGCCAAATACGAGGATCGTTAAACTTGGCTGGAGCAGAGGGAAAAGAGTTTTCCCCCTCGGTAGACACGGAAGCAGATGAGGTTGAGGAAAGCGCTTCGTCGTACAACCCTACCTGCTTTTATTCTGATGGGAGGATCGACATGGAATCTGTGACCATAGGGAAGGGAGTTCCGCTTCAGATCGACGTGGTCCCGCCGGGAATTCTGACAAAGGTGTCGGAATTTTTCTGCTGTGAGACCTGCGGGAAGGTGTTCTGGGAAGGGCGGCACTTCGAGCGCGTGATCTCACAGTTCGCTGACGTTCTGAGCGACTTAGAGGAAGGAAAGGCAGTTGGGACAGTGTACAGCACTACAGAGTAAGGACTCTATGAAAGAGTCTCACCAGGATAAGACCTAGCTTGGGTACCATCCGGATTTTCGCTCCAGCACGCTCGCAAAAATCATTTTTCAAATGATTTTTTTTTAGGGTGGCGGAGCGAAAATCCGGATGGTACCCAGGCTAGGTAAGACCCGATTTACACTGGGAAAACCTGACAGTATTTTCTCAGTACTATATCAGCCTGCTTTTACGTACATTTATATGTTGCCTCGTGGGCTGGAGTATAATCTGAACATACGTTCTTGACCATCAAAGCATGCCGATTTATACACTGGAAAACATTTGACTCAATTTTCGTTCTGTCAGGTTTCGCCCGTGTGTGTAAGTGTGTGTGTGTAAATCAGGTCTGACAATGCAGGTTGAGAAACAGTAAAATTAAGCCTAATAGGGTGAATAATTGGCAAGGGCAAGAGGTGTTTGGCCACCACTCCTGTGCGTGTGCATAGCTCACTTACCATAACTCATTGGCCTGGTCAATTACTGAGCCTATTTTTTGCTGAATCTCACTGCCCAAAACTATAACCTCTGGTTGAGACTAAGCAGAGAGGACCTGGGCAATATACCAAAAACTGGTCAATATAGCAACATCTGTTGTCTTCAGCCACAGTAGCAATAGTTGAATTAAAACTGGAGAAGGAAATATAGAAGAGATAGGATATTAGCCTAAAAAGTCAACAAAAAATACAAATCACCAATACAATCATATTTTGTCAAATGTGTAAAATTTTGCAAACCCATTGCTGACACAAATGTAAGACAATCGTAACGTTAAGATAGATAGAACTATAGTATTGAGAGATGATTCCATCCATGACTACAAAACACTTCTTTAATGATTTCTTTGCAAATTTGCAAAAATCAGTGTCCTCATCTCATCTAAATGTACTGTCTGTAATTGTTCTTTTTGATCCTCCCTACTAACATGATACAAGGTGGAATCTTTGTTGCTTTACTTTTAACTTTGTACCTTATATGATGTCCTCAAACAATGGTACAATTTTGTTTCTGTCAAATTTTAGAATAAAGTTGCATCAATGGATTTACAGGGCAAACATGATGTTAATTGCATGATATTTCATTTAACTGGAATTGTCCGCCATGAAATGTGAACTGTTTTTCCCGTAAAAGTTGCAATTTTTAATTTGATATTAATAAAGTTCAACTCATGCTATACAATTGTCTCTTCCTTGGGATTTTCTGTAACATAGCAATTAGTGTTTCCATTACGTTTAACATCTCAAAGACCTCAAGTGTTTCAGAAGTGCACTCCAGAAAGAAGAGAACCAACCAAACGGGAAATTTCATTCATAAAGAAAATTGAAAACGGTTGTGTGGAATGTGACTTCCCCTCACGTTTCTATTCTTCTATTGAAGCGCACAGTTATTGTTAAACAATGAAGTTGCTCTGACAACAGCCCAGGACAGATGGTACCAGTCTTTCATACACTTCTTGTGGACAGATGGACAACAAAGGACTGGTCACATGTCATAACGGTCTGGAGACCAGAACAAGTTAGCTGTGTGGTTCTTGTTAGAACAGGAAAGGAAAGGAAAGGAAGGAGAGGAGAGGAAGGGAAGGAAAGGAAGGGAGGAAAGGAAGGAGAGGAGAGGAAGGAAGGGAAGGGAGGAAAGGAAGGAAGGGAGGAAAGGAAGGAAGGAAAGGGAAGGAAGGATAGGAAAGGAGGGGGAAGGGAAGGAAAGGAAAGGAGGTAAGGAAAGGAAAGGAAAGGAAAGGGATCTCATCCAGTTTTATCTCACTGAAGAGCTACTGGTACTCTCCCACTGGTCTTGACAGAGAAGACAGACGCTATGTACAGTATTTACAGGTTCATTGTGCGGGGGAAATTTCCCTGGCTCTTTTGAACAAGTACAGTGAAAAGTGGACCACAAGATTGGGAAACTTGATGTTAGCTTGGACTCCAGGCTGTTTCTAGGGCCTACACAAGCCAGCTCCTCAGCTCTGAAGGGCCAACATACACCCAAGGAAATTTTAGCTCCTACAAGTAGAGGTTGATTGGGAACATGTCAACCCTTTTTAGCTTTCGTCCGCTGAAGCTTTTTTTTTCGAGCGGACGGAACTAAAAAGTTCAGGCGATAAGTTCAATCCCTCTGGATATTGGGGTGTTGTAGTCCAGACTAGCGCATTGCGCAAACAGGCAAGTTTATGCAGACCAACTGGATGACCGACCCTGACTACCTAACACAATTATCCGTTCAACCAATGATATCATAGCAATTATCGGTTCGAGCAATGAGAGAGTGGCTGTATATCTGTCAAACGTTTGTAGTTACATGTTTTATTTGGCATTTGTACCAGGTGTATGGGGGTTTGGCTAGAGGATATTCCACGGGCTGGACCATATGGAATGGCAGAGAGAGGACCTTATTAGGGTTTACCCAAATATGTTTTTACCAAATACGCGATTGGCGCCGACGACTGCCGTCGGCCCGTGTTCGGACCAGGTCGCGCCGGCTGGGGGCGTGAGAACCACAGGTGCGGTCTGGACAACCACAGACGGTTTAACAACCAAAATACACCCATCAACACATAACCAAGGGGTCTGGTTTGTACTCGAGCAGTCTACGTTGTCCTTAAATTGCCCCTAAGCTTCAATTTAGACAACCCGGACACTAGTGTATCGGAGACAATAGTGGGACACCTGTCATTGTGCTATATAAGAAAATGATGAAACTTTATTCGCAAAATCATGCCCGAAGGCTAATTGCTTTTACAATCAAGTATAATACTCATTGCAATACAGTAACAGGAGAAAGGTAACAACTGTCTGGAAAAAAACAACTTCTACTTCTACTACTACGCTAGCTATTATGGGGTTCGACTTCTTCTTTGAAGGCAGTGGATAATGAATAGTCCCACATTCTGCATAATTAGTGGATTTTGTGATCTTAGTAGAAATGCAGTTTTTTGTGATCTTCTAAATGACGAAAGGATGGAGAAATTTATAGGATGGGCTCGCTCGCAACACGTCGTACAAGGGTTGTACGGCCGCGCAAACTAAGAGAGAGTCGTGGTTGTGTCTTGCAAACTCAGCTACCCTGTTAATTAATGTTTATCACATTCAGGTTGAAAATTCTACCGTATCAAAATCGTACGTCGACCACAGACGAATATGACCGCGCCGTTGAGAGAAAGAGTGTGGTTAGAAAATTGTAAAAAAAAAAATATTTAGTCGCCCGATGTGGGGCTCGAACCCACGACCCTGGGATTAAGAGTCCCATGCTCTACCGACTGAGCTAACCGGGCTTGATACAGGTGCCAAAGGTGAGGCAGGTGAGAGATGTGATTCTAAAATTATTAGATACTAGTAGTGGAACGCGCGCGTTCACGCAAAAATAAACAATACCAGAAGTAGACAATTACCATCACGACAGTGTTGCCATTTGTAAATTAAGGTTTAGAGTACATCGAATGCGCGAAGTTACAATATTCTATTGAAAAGTGTATTGAACATGAGTTACACTCTTTCGCAATTCAGACTTTAGACTTTTGGTGAAACAACGATCAGAGAAAATTCGCAATGGATGTTGAATGTACAGTAAAAAAACGTTGTTCCCTACCAGTTTTGTCTAGCAATATTTAATGTTGACTAATATGTGCACAAGTGTGTCATTCGTTTTTGCTTCAATATTACTCTGCAAATATCACTTGTGGTAACTGTGCCTAAGTCTAGCGGTGCGCACATTCTTACAGCTACTCTTCAGCTATGGGCCGGAGAAAACTTAAGAATAAACGTACTAACGTTACATGTATCAAAATGCAAAAACAGGCGTAAAACACCGACACTGAGAAAGATTCTTACATCTGTATGGTGATCGGTACAGTGTAAGTTTAACAGGTGGACTGTACGGTTAAAACCGGTAACGTTAATAAAGGCTGACCTCTGGTCAAAGATCAGGACAGCGGCCGTTGGACCATTCTGACCTCCCTGACCCCAGCGACGCTCTGGTACAATTTGAAAAGATGGTCGCTTGTGCCGGTTACAATATCTACAATATTTCTTAAACCAAGAAAGTTCCAAATCCAATATATTTTGAGGCTTCGCGGTTTAAAACAACGGCAATATTGGAGTACTATAACGTCACTTAGTATGGATACCGTCCTCGTAGCGAGTGACTCGAAAATTCTACATGTATATTTTTGTCTAAAGACTCTAAACTTCAAATAACTCAACTTTATCCATTCTTATCTGTGTCATCTTTTTTTTTTCTTTTCCAAACGATGGACACTGTCGGTTCCCTGTCGTGAGGCGATCGTCTTCTTTGGCCGTCTTCACGGTCTCAAGACGGTCTGTTGTTGCGCCTTTGGAGGAGTGCGTTAGTGGAAATTCCAAACGTTTTTGCAAATTCTGCATGTGTTCTGTCTTGCATGGCCAAGCAGAGCTTTTAGACCTGTTGTAGGAAAGAAACATCCCTTTTAAATCGTTCAATCATCTCTCGAAGACTTCCTTCAAGCGCCAAGATTGTTTGGACGTTTTTTCCAGTTTTTAGGCATTTTGTGGGGCTTGCAATTTTGTCGGGTAGTATACGTAGACAAGGATGTCCAAAGAAATGCCTTCAACATAGTTGTAACAGGCCGATAAAACGTTTTAAAAAGGCTTTCAAACAAGCTCTAGACCTATTTAAATTTCTGTTGGGGCCTTTGGGGAGTACTTCTAGTATGTAGCTTCCTTGGGGAACGACCGAGTTACTCTACTCTCCTGAGAGAATGTACGATTTCTTTGCCGTAGTACGTGTCCATCAATCGTCCATCTAAAACCCAAACGCCCCGCCTTTTTTACCATCCAGCCCAAGCCTGACCCCCGAGGCGACCCCCTGACCCCTTATTTCCGACATATCGTCCGTTTCTGTGGTTCTAATCCACAGAAATGTGAGCCCAGAATAGCGACCACCTGCCGGCCGGCTGACCTATGACCCAGTCAGGTCAGAAGACACATGCCGCTATTGAAATCCGCAGGTGGCAGTTGTTCTGAATCTTCCAGACACGAATCTAGGGTCATCTTCAGGCTAACATGTCTTCTAAATCGTTCAACCATCACTCAAAAGCTTCGTTTGGTTTTTTTTCTAGCAACTCCCTCTTTCAAAAGCGTTCGAATCTTTACACTGTTTTATACAATTTTTATTATGCAATACGTGATGTAATGTCATGTTATACCAACATGGTGCTACTTTTACGGTGATATTTGGAAGCAACAAAAAGTCAGTGTGAAGAAATGAAACAACGTACAGCTTGCGAATCATTTGGAGCTAAAGAAAGGTTGACAGCCTTTCTCAATGTTTTTCATGTTGTACATAGAATAAGAATAATCATTTTATCACTATTCGAAGTGCTTGCATAGAACTAGAAGTGCTGATATAGAGTATACTCGATACTATAAGAAATTCTCCCAAATCAAGGCAAGCGACTCGACCAAATTTATGGTGCGCCCGGAATGCTTGCGGCTTGCCATACGAAAAATAGACTAGATACATACAGAGAAGTATATCAAAATTTAACAGTTGGCGGTGCATAAATTGTGAGGAAACTGAGCCACAGACAATCTTTGTGTAGAAAAAGGAGACTGCGTATCTTTAACCATGCCCCTGTCCTTATATCTAAACAGATATCGGTCCAACACCGTATCATATTTTGTATGATAGGCCTAGGGGTGACATGGAATCGCGTCCTGTTTGGCAACTACTGACATATAAAGTGAAGTCTGAAATCTAGAAAGGCCGTGTCTATATGGGTCGGACGATCGTGTATTACTCGTAAAAGACCGTGGGAACGAGAGAGGCTGGGGGTCGTTGACCCCTGTAAAGCGTTGGATGTTCACAAAGGACAAGATATGTGTGTATTCATTCATCAAAACTGCTGTTTTCATTCATCAAGGCTTAGATCAGAACTTTATTAGACATAGATATCGCTGGATTTGATGATGATAGAGCAATAAAACAATTCCATGAGGATACGTAATAAGACAAGTAAAAAGTAATCATCCTTTGTACATACTGTATCTTTGTTTTATTTTATTTTATTCTATTTTACCGTATTGTTTTATTGTGTTAGGAAAATGGAGGACAGAAAAAATCCATCCCACGTTGCCAAAGGCTAGTCTCTACCAGACTAACTAGCTTAACTACGCTGGCTATATATAGGAGAATATTTGCCAG